ACTAAATAGCATATTGCCCCCAACAATCTGGGTCCTCATTTTACCCACCTCGGAAGGATGGAAGGCTGAGTCAACTTTGAGCCGGTGAGATTTGATCTGCTGATCTGCTGAAGTAGCTGCAGTACAGCACTCTAACCACTGCGCCACCTCGGCTCCAAAAAGCTTGACAACTTTTAACACTGGTGGACTTTTAATTCCCAGCATTCCGAAATTCCGAGAGTTCCAGTCTACCAGTCTTAAAGTTGCCAACTTGGACACCCCTTGCTCCAGATGTATGGAGTTTGGTGAAGTATTGATGATTAGCCATGGATTTCCATTAAATAGTTTTGATATCAAACCCGAGAATACATCCACAGGGACCTAAATAGGAATGAAAACCGCCATCCCAAACACCTTGGGGAGAGGACATGCCACTGTACGAACCTAGCAATAAAATCGGTAAATTGGTGCCGCTGCTAATTTTGCTGGTACTTCTGCAATGCAGTGCAGATGTGTCAGGACAGCTTCCAAAATGCTGGCTAGAAATAAACCTTTGTAGCCAAGTCGTCTTGTTCGAAGTTGAGGAAAACTGTTCTGCCCGTTTTTGAGGAGGAAAAATTAGATTTTTCTCCAATCGCCACAGACCAGAGCTTTACTGGCTTCAGTAGATATAAGATTTCGCTCAACATGGTTAAATGTCATAAAATGTGGGCCCTTCCACCCACTTTAAAGAACCTAAAAGGCTCAAGCAGAGATCTGAATCTCTCTTAGATCTGATTCATGCACCCAATGTGGCTAATTCACAGCTGTTGGGAATCTATCCACAGACCTTTTACAAGAACGCAAGAGATCGGCCGCGCAGGAATCGCATTCACCTGGTCACGCAAATCTCTTTTGTGGAACCAAACTTTTTCTGGAAGCACACGAGAAAACACGCAAGTGCTTCTGAAGCACTGGAAAAACAGAGAATAGATGGGACATCATTCCAGATTAACATTCAGAGTAAGAAAGGTTTAAGAAAAAGCTCTTCCCCATGACATCCAAATATGTCTGTGAGGATAAAGGTGTTAAGAAGAGATTGGACAACCATCTGTCTGAAGTGATGTAAGGTCTCCTGCTTGAGCAGGGGGTTGGACTAGAAGACCTCCAAGGTCCCTTCCAATTCTGTTATTCTGTTATTTTGCTATCCTATCCTGCCGGAATAAACTGGGCCAAGGATCCCATGCTCTGCATTAGCCTAGGCCACCAATTCTGGTCCTCTGAAGTACAGGTAGTCCTCGACTTACGACCGCAATTATGCCCACAATTTATGTTGCTAAGCGAAACATTTGTTAAGTGAGCTTTGCCCCATTTTACAACCTTTCTTACCCACAGTTGTTAAGTGAAACACTGCAATTGTTAAGTTAGTGACACGGTTGTTAAGTGAACCTGGCTTTGACTTTGCTTGTCGGAAGGTCGCAAAGGGTGATCACATGGACCCTAGGACAACGCAACTGTCATAAATATGAGTCAATGGCCAGGCATCTGAATTTTGATTATGTGAAGTTGCAGCAGCCGTTAAGAATGAAAAACAATGATAAAGTCACTTTTTTCAGTGCCATTGTAACTTTGGTCACTGAAAAAACCCTATTGTAAGTCGAGGACTACCTGTGTTTGAGAAACCTTCCAGAGCCTCTCTAGATAGTATAGTCTATCAGAAATAGTATAGGTCTCCTGAGAGAGCAGGGGTTGGACTAGATGACCTCCAAAGTCCCTTCCAATTCTGTTACTCTTGATAAATAGGGTTCTGACAAACTTTGCAGTGACCAAGGGAACTTCTCAGTTTGGCAACGGAAAGACATCATCAGCATAATTTCATGGAATTATGGAATTATTCCCATAACTATGTCTAAGCCTTGTCTCTGTCTTTCCCAAGCCTTTAGCTTCAGTTGAGAATCAGGAAAGGCATCTCCAATGAAACAATGGCTTCCTAATCCATTAGGAACTTCCATGAGATACCTCAAAGGATCTATTCTCTCCCTGCCGTAATTCTGGGGCAAAATTAAGGTATCAGTTCCTCATAGGTGAAATACCTCAAATATTTATTTATTTATTTATTGGTTCGATTTATATGCCGCCCTTCTCCGGAGACTCAGGGCGGCTTACAATGCGTTAAGCAATAACCTTCATACTTTTGTATATACCTGCTTACTAGGGCTTTCGGCCCCCCCTAAGCAGTGTTATTTTTTATACAAAGTCAGCTTATTGCCCCTACAAACCGGGTCCTCATTTTACCTACCTCGAAAGGATGGAAGGCTGAGTCAACTTTGAGCCTGGTGAGATTTGAACTTGCAGTAATTGCAGGCAGCTGGTGCTACTTAACAGCACTTTAGTCTGCTGCGCCACCAAGGCAGCAGCAATAGCCCAGGAACCAATTCTACCCAGCCTGCAAGGGAGATATTTGACTCCTTAAAACTTAAAACTGTTGGAAGACTGCAAGCATTCTTGGAAGAAAACCAAGATGTAGGGATCTGGGCTGGGCCACCTGAAATGGGATCCTGGTGAAAAAAAATTTGGCCTGCTTGCCAAATTAGAATTCATGTTGGTCCCAATTCTGATTCAAAAGTATTAAGTTGTGGGAAATGGCTTATATTCTAAGTTACATTCATTCATTTCTGGAAGAGCTTCTTAATGATCTGATGAGAGAAATAACAGTCCCCAATGGAAAGACCTCCTAATGATCTAGGGCCGTGATGGCGAATCTATGGCATGCATGCCACAGGTCGTATGTGGAGCCATATCGGTGGGCATGCGAGCTCAGCTCCGCCAGCTGATTTTCGGACCTTCTGGGTCCACTGGAAGTCGGGAAACGGGCCGTTTCCAGCCTCCAGCGGGGCCTCCGGGGAGGTTGGGAAGGCTGTTTTTGCCCTCCCCAGGCTCCTAGAAAGTCTCTGGAGCCTGGGGAGGGCAGAAAACAGGCCTAACAGGCCCACTGTGCCATCGCATGCCAAAAGCGGGTGGGGTGTCGTGTGCACATGGGCAGGGGGGGCGGGGGGCGTAGAATTATGGGTTTGGGCACGTGCGCAGGCAACTCCCCACACTCCCCCCACTTTTGGCACTCAATGGCCAAAAGGCTAGCCATCACTGATCTAGGGTGATTCTTACAAGCCATATCCAGGATCTCACCCCTTTACTGATTGATTTCTGCTATTCACACCCTACCTTTTTTCCCCTTTCCTCAAAAGGGGAAAAGAAACAAAAATCTATCTCAGGTTGAACTAGTGACTGTTGTAAATGCATCTATTTAGTTTCCCTGGTCACAAAAGGGAAGCAGTTTGGCACGCCCTTCTATCAGGATATCTCCTCTACTACCCTGTGATCTCCTAGTGGTCTCCTATCCTAGTCCTAACTCTGCTTAGCTTTTCAAGTTTGGCTAAATGCTAGTCACACAAAACGGAACAGCAAAAGCCAGGGAGATCAACAAAAACCAAAAACTAACATGAATCAAATCAGAAGAGACTACTTAACAGGACTTCTTTGGAAAAAGTAGAAAGAGAAGAGAAAATCATGTTTTTACAGGAGAGATCTTTCCCCAGGCTGAGAAAAAAATAGAAGCTGAAATGAAGGGTCAAAGAACTTGCAAAACACAGGTACTCCTCGACTTACAACCACAATTGAGCCCAGAATTTTGGCTGTAGGCTATTGCGGCTGTAAGTGAAGTCACCACATGATCAGATTCAATTTTACGACCATTTTTACAACGGTCCTTACCTGAGTCACTATGATCGTTTAGTCATAAGTCCAAATAGGAATAGGAATAGCACTTAGATTTATATACCGCTTTACAGCTCTCTCTAAGCGGTTTACAGAGTCAGGACATTGGCCCCAACAATCTGGGTCCCCATTTTATTGACCACAGAAGGATGGAAGGCTGAATCAGACTTGAGCCGGTCAGGATTGAACTCTTGGCAGTCGGCAGAGTTAGCTTGCAAACCTGCATTCTAACCACTGTGCTACCAGGGCTCAAATGTACTTTTTACTGGAATATATATATATTAAGTGTTTTCCTATTGAGACACCTGGTCAACCCCAGCATGTGGGAGGGAGCATACTGCATCCCTTTCGCCTTTCAGCTCCAATCCAGGAGCCCTCATGCAGTCGCATTCACGACAAACCATTTTATACCAAATTTATATTTCAAATTTATATATACATATATATCCATTGTAACTTGTCATTAAGTGAGCGGTTGTAAGTCAAGGATACCCATCAGAATCACTCCAGGGTTACTTGGCAAAATCTGTCAACATCATAAGGTAGACATGGACATGTCTTGTTAGTCCACCTAAAACTTGATGGGTGCATCTCAAGATGAGGCCTTTGCTTTTATCAGCCATATATTGTTTTACTGCAGTACAGGTAGTCCTCGACTTATCACATGTGACCTCAAAATTTCTGTTCTGCTAAGCCAGACGGTTAAGTGAGTTTTGCCCCTTTTTACATCCTTTCTTGCCACATGTGATAGTTGTTAAGTGAATCTGGCTTCCCCATTGACTTCGCTTGTCAGGAGGTCACAAAAAAGTGATCACATGATCCAGGGATCCTGCAATTATCATAAATACGAACCGGTTACCATATTTTGATCGGGTGATCATTGGGATACGATCAAAAGTGTGAAAAAAGACCATGTCACTTTTTTTCAGTGCGGCTGTAATGTCCAATGGTCATTAAACGAACAGTTATAGGTCGAGGACTACCTTTATTTATAACAGGAGCATTAAATTATTTGCTGGCTGGACTTGCCTTAGAATAGTAAAAGAACAAGACCAGAAGCCAAATCGTCTTTAAATGACACATAGTAAACACTGATAACATGATATTTAGTACCTCTCCTGTAGCACCAAGCACTGCAATCCAATCCAGATGCTGATTTATCACAAATACTGTATTTTTCGGAGCAAAAGACACACCTTCCCCCCCCCAAAAGGGGGTGAAAATTTAGGTGCGTCTTATACACCAAATGTAGCCCCGCCCACCCACTGGCCCCACCCTTTGGCCTCTGCCTCGCAGCAGTTACCTCCTTGCAAGCAAACAGCAAGAAAAAACAGCTCCTTTCAGCTTCAGCACAGCCTAATTAGCACAAGTTGATTGGATCGGCCTCCCGACTCTCAGCTGATTTGCTCTCAGTTGTTTTGCGCAGGGCTCTGCTGCTTGCTGCAAAGAACTAAATTGCTGGAACAGATATTTTTCCTTGTGCTAACCAAGCTATGCTGAAAACGAAAATGAAAGTAAAGCAGGCTGTTTGCTGCAAGGAGGCAAAATTGCTCAGAGGCAGAGGGAGATTTCTTTTTCTTCTTTTCCTCACCCAAAAAGGTAGGTGCGTCTTATACTCCGAAAAATATGGTACCCTCGAGATGCCACCTTTTGGGAAAGCAAATACTTTCCTTTCCTGGATCATCTGCAAACGTGGTCGTGTTAGATGTATATACATGGATAGTCTACACGCCTAAAAATAATTGAGCAAATCCTGGGGCTGATTTGAGCAATCAAATGGCTGCGCACAAGCATAATCTGAATTAAGTTCATGTGGCGCAAAAAATATTAATTTACACGTAGGAGCCTGGGTCTTTGTGGCTTGAGCGAGAGGCTAGGAGACAGATCGAATTCTGCAGAAGAGTGGGACCATCTTGCAATGAAGTCAGGGGTCAAAGGAAGAGAATCGGAAAGATGCGTTTTCTAAATTAAGAGTTAGGAAAGGACAGCAGATCCAGTTATTGCCAGATGATGGTTGTCCAACCTTATCACTTTGAGACTTGTGGACTTCAACTCCCAGAACTCCCCAACCAGCAGAGCTGGCTGGGGAATTCTGGGAGTTGAAGTCCACACATCTTCAAGTTGAGAGTTGAGAAGCACTGATCTATGGGAAGTCTGTCTTATTGAACCCTTCATCTCTTGCAATAGCTCAGGGGCTGCCACAAAGACGAGGGGGTGAAGCTATTCTTCAAAGCACCTGAAGGCAGGACAAGAAGCAATGGATGGAAACTAACCAAGGAGAGAAGCAACCTAGAACTAAGGAGAAACTTCCTGACAGTTAGAACAATCAGTGGAACAACTTGCCTCCAGAAGTTGTAAATGCTCCAACACTGGAAGTTTTTAAGAAGAGGTTGGATAACCCTTTGTCTGAAGTGCTGTAGGGTTTCCTGCCTAAGCAGGGGGTTGGACTAGAAGACCTCCAAGGTCCCTTCCAACTCTGTTATTCTGTATTCTTTCCCTCAATAGCATATTCTCACATTAACCTTTCACTTCATATGGAGAAAAAAAACATTTAACTGGTCAGCTTGCTGAGCAAACTATAAACTAAAGTTCTGACATGATGGGGTAGGGGAGAAACACTGATACATTTCACCTTAAATTCCAAGGCTAAGCTATTGGATTTTTAAAACGTCTTAACAAGAAACATTTCCCTACTCCAGAAATTCCACCTAACACATACTTACAACTCACCTTCTATTCATCGGATGACTGAAGAACTTCAAGTCTTAATTCCTCATTCCTACTCAGCTCCCTGAATTAATATTAGGCTACGACAGTATAGCCCCTACCATAATTGTAACCACGGTGTATTAAAATCCCTCATTCACCCCCCAACTTAATTACTATTAGTTTTGCTCACTCTTCAATCTTCACCATCAGCGGATTTGCTGCAAGTCAACTCTGAGAATAATTGGCACTCAGTTTTTGTCTCCATCTAAGTTACAGGCGATCCTCGACTTACGACCACAATTAGGAACAGAATTTCCGTTGCTAAGCAAGGCAGTTAAGTGAGCCGCGCCCAGTTTTATGACCTTTTTTTGCCGTGGATTGTTAAGCGAATCACTGCAGTTGTTAAAGTGAATCATCTGGCCATTAAACAAGGACCACTTTTGCCACAGTCATTAAGCGAATCTGGCTTCCCCCAGCTTTGCTTATCAGAAGCTGGCTGAAAAGGTCACAAATGGCGATCATACGATCTCAGGACAGTGCAACAGTTATAAATACATGGCAGTGGCCAAGCAGCTGAATTTTGATCACATGACTATGTTGCAATGGTCATAAGTGTGAGGACTGGTTGTAAGTCACTTTTTTTTAAAGTGCTGTTGTAACAGTCGCTAAACAAAGGGTTGTAAGTCAAGGACTACCTGTATGCTTCTCTGCACAATTCAAGCCAATCCATATATTTATAATTAATATGAGAAACACCAAGTGTGTTAAACACAGCAGAGCTGATACGTTATTACATATGTTAATATTTAAACAGTCATTCTTATATTTTAGAAAACAGACGGCAGGGTGACAATATTTTCCCCTCCCACATTAAATTAAATGTTCAGTCCAGAATTTTATTACATTTCCAGCTTTAAATTTAAATCCTTAAATGCTCCTGAGGAGCTGGCATTTTTCATTTAGATCAGTTGTTTCCTTCCCTTGGGAATTTTAAAATGCGGAGACTTCAATTCCCAGAATTCTCCCCGCCAGCTGATCTAAATGAATAAATAACACTGGTGTTGTGATGCAACTGGTCCCCATTTATCAAAAATAAATAAATAACAACTTACCTAAAATGAAAAAAAAAAAATTTACTTAAGGAACGTAGAGTTGTGTAATGCCATCAGAGGGAACACACTGTCTTTTTTTTTACACTGACTAAATCAGGGGTGGGGAAGCATGGACCCTTTATGATTTGTGGACTTCAACTCCCAGAATTCCAGGGTTCCCCACCTCTGGACTAGATGTACTGGTAGAGAGCTGGTTCGAGATATTCAGAAATGTGTGTGCGTGGGAATTCCCAGAGTTTTACACTTGGGTCAAAAACTTTGCAAAAAGCTAATACAGGTAATCCTCAATGTGCGACCACAATTAAGGCCAAAGTTTCTGTTGCTAAGCAAGAGAGCTGTGAGTGAGTTCTGCCTCATTTGACTACTTTTCTTTTGCCAGAGTTATTCAGTGAAACACTGCAGCTGTTAAGTCACACAGTTGTTAAACGAATCTGGCTACCCCACTGACTTTGCTTGTCAGAAGGCTGCGAAAGGGGAATCCCATCGCCCTGGGACACTGCAACCAGTGGTAGGATTCAAGTAAGTTAACAACTGGTTTCTCTGCCCTAATGATTTCTTCCAACAATCAGTTTGCCAAACTGCTCAGAAAGTTAACAACCGGTTCTCCCGAAGTGGTGCGAACTGGCTGAATCCCACCACTGACTGCAACCGTCATAAACCTAGGCCAGTTGCTTAGCGTCCAAATTTTGATCAAGAAATCATGGGGATGCTGCAACGTTTGTAAGTGTGAAAAGTAGTCATAAATCCTTTTTTTTTTTCAGAGCTGTTGTAACTTTCAATGGTCGCTAAACCAATGGTTGCAAGTTGAGGACTGCCTGTATAGCCCTGGGGTTTCTCATAGCAATCAGAACATGTGGAAGAGCAGGGGTCTCCAACTTTGGCAACTTCACGCCTGGCGGACTTCGACTCCCAGAATTCCCCAAAGCTTGCTGGGGAACCCTGGGAGTTGAAGTCCGCCAGGCTTAAAGTTGCCAAGGTTGGAGTCCCCTGTGGAAGAGAATTGCATCGAAGTCTGTACAGAATCAGGCTTTTTTCACCGCAAACCTGTTGGCAAGACATTTTAATGGCAATAATACTTTTTGAGTGGCGTTTGGCCTGGGCTCCCTCTCCTTCAGGATCCTTGCATGTTCTCTGCAATCTCACATCATCGCGGACTTCACTTTTTCAAAAAACGAAAGAGCAGGCTGTCTGCTCATCTAAGGCAGTCCTTCCCAAGTTTTCTTTCATTCCCAAAAACCACGTATTGGAAAGTCCTTTCAGCCCAAGATAGGTTAAAAAACAAAACAAAACCCTTTCCATCAATGTCAGTGTCCCTTTTGTGATTGAGTAATGGGGTTGTGTACCTTTAACCAAAAAGAAAAAAACACTTTTACCCAATGGTGGGTTATTTACCCGGGTTTGGGAAGCACTGATATAAGAATATGTGTATGTATATATACAGACATATATATATATACATATATTTATAGAATGGAAGAAAAAAACCCACAAAGGAAAATAATATTCAGTGCAAATGCAAATACCTTGCCCCCAACACCCCCTCCCCAAAAAAGGGCAGAAAAAAAAATCGCTTCTCAATGTCTAATCTAGAATGAGGTTTGGGGTAGGGAGCCACAGAGGACAGCTAAGGAGACCAACCTTTGAAGACACGAGGAGAGGAAGGCGGGGAGGGATGAAGAGCGGATGATCTTTTGGCTTGACAAAAGCTGTCAGTTACCAGCATCTGGGGTGGAACAGGTCTGTCTTTGTCCCCCCCCCTCCTCTCCCCCAAAGACATCTGCTGTGGCCTGCCTCCCGCCAGTTGGCCAACGCAAGCTGCTACAATGCTTCGGAGACCATCCGTTCTTGCCCTCCAAGTCGCTATTCAACCGGCCATGTTCCTCCTGAGCCGCAACAATAGCTTGGCGGGACGTTGAGTCGATGAGCCACGGGTTGCATAAAAGGGAACTTTCAACAAAACCACAGCGGGGAGGAGAGGGAAGAAAGGAGGAGGGGGCGGCACCTGAGGACGCGACTGAAAAAAAGACATGCTTCGCCCCATCGAACGTATTCTTAAACATGCTGCGGGTTGTCTTTTTAGGAATCGGACCACTGAACGGTCACACCGTCCCTTCTCCAGTCCCTGTAACTCGAGCGCTCCTGCGTCCTTTTAGAATATTCTGAATGTGTGTTTTGTGTTGTTTCTTTAAAGTGCATGTCTTGCTCCCGGCACTGGGCTGCGCCCGCCTGCTGCCTTCAAGCTGTCAGTTTCTGGATTGTCTTGTTGTAATACTGCGTGATGGTCGGGGTCAGGGGGTTCCAACTGTTGGCGTGCAGCTCAATCACCTCCAGGAGCAAGGACCGCGTCAGCATGGACTCCGAGGGGCACAGCATCTTGTCGCGGGCAGTGGCCAGCAGTTCCGTCATCAGCTCGGGAAGCTGTTCTTCCAGCAGCCGGCCGGCGCTTTGCAACTATTGAGGAAGAAAGAAGGGAGGTCAAAAGCGGAGGACCGGCTGGCTCCCCCTCCCCGTCTGGCCCTTCTTTCCATTCTCCCCCACAATGGGAAGAAGAGAGGCAGAGAAGAAGGCTCTGCTTCCTTTTGCAAATGCTCGATTTAGTTATTGCTTTGAGGCACACGGTTCTGTTAGAAATAATTACGTTCTATGCCAGGAGTGTCTAACCTTGGCCACTTTAAGATTTGGGGACTTCAACTCCCATAATTCCCCCAGCCAACCATAGCTGGCTGAGGGAATTCTGGGAGTTGAAGTCCAAAGGTCTTAAATGTGGCCAAGATTGGGCACCTCTGCTCTATGCTTCACAAGACCCTGTAAACTGCCATTTTAAAAGCCAGAGGCAAATAACATAAAAATATAGGATGCTGGAAAGGCGAGAAATTCCCTAGGAGAGGCATTGGAATGGATACCAGGCGAAGAGGTGGGTGTAGAAATAGAGTTTTTCTGACGTTTTATTTTAACGTTTTGCCCACAGCACAGAGCTCTGGCAGTAGAGCTAAGAAAAGAATGGAGTGGGGGGGGGGTCCTCCAGGCCAACAAAGGTGTGCCATGAATTCTGCAGTTTGAATGCTTTGGATGGGTAGACGGAGGAAGGAGGTGTAACAAACTTTGCAATTGTCCTTCCTCACATTGGTCCAAGCAGATGTTGGTCAACTAGGTACATGTTTATTAAGAGTCAGATCTCACGATACATTTTGGATACTGAGATTGAGGGATTTAGGATAAACAACACAATGTGGACTTTGTTCTTTGTTTTTTTTAGCAAAGCAATTTACAGTATGAATTTCCACACTGGACTTTTGAGATGTTTCTCCCAAGTTCTGGCTACAATATGCCAGTTAAAAGAAAAAGAAAGGAACCATAGTAAACATCAAATAACGCAGATATCACGTGTATATGATATCAACAAATGGCTTTTTCAGTTAATTTTCTAGATACTAGTAGTCCTTGACTTACAACCATTAACTGAGCCACAAATTTCTGTCGCTAAGCGGGACAGTTGTTAAATGAGCTTTGCTCCATTTTCCTTTCTTGCCACAGTTGTTAAGTGAATCACTGGAGTTGTTAAGTTAGTAACAATGTTGTTAAGTGAACCTGGCTTCCCCATTGACTTGGCTTGTCAGAAGGTTGCAAAAGGGGATCATGTGACATCGAGACATTGCAACCGTCGTAAATGTGAGTCAGTTGCCAAGCATCCAAATTTTGATCACACGATGCAAATGGTTGTAAGTGTAAAAACGGTTATAAGTCACTTTTTGCTTTGCTGTTGTAACTTCAAACGGTCAATAAACGAATGGTTGTAAGTCAAGGACTACCTGTATTTTTTTTTTTTAGCAATTTTAGGCATGCAGTATCATAAAAATTCAGCTAGTACCACTGACTACACTAAACCCTAAAATTCAGGAAGTGTATGATGATGGTAGAATGGGCATAACAGAGCAGGTTTTCCAGTCTTGCCATAAGTCTATAGCAGAGGTGGGTTTCAGCAGGTTCTGACCAGTTCTGGAGAACTGGTAGCGGAAATTTTGAGTAGTTCGACGAACCGGTAGTAAAAATTCTGACTGGCCCCGCCCCCATCTATTCTCTGCTTCCCAAAACCCAGCTGATCGGGAGGAAATGGGGATTTTGCAGTAACCTTCCCCTGGATTGGGGAGGGAATGGAGATTTTACAGTATCCTTCCCCTGCCACGCCCACCAAGCCACACCCACAGAACCGGTAGTAAAAAAATTTGAAACCCACCACTGATCTATAGGAAACATTTATGAAAACAGCTCCTTAGGATAATAAATATAAATAAATACTTATGGCTTTAAAAAGATTCTTCTAAAATTAGTTTCTGATTTTGTGCAGTAAAAGGGCTGTATAAATTCTTGCTCTTATAATTTTGACATTCTCTGGCAAAGAACAGCCCTCTTTACTGAGCGAAGAAGTGGTAGAAATAGGTTAGATAAACATTTCCAAATATCTACCTCCATTGAGCAGCAAAGAACCGCATCTTCTTTTATATCCTGAGATTGCAACAACTGCAGAAACAGAGAAAAGGAGACATGGAAAGAAAACCCACTTAGAAATTCTTCTCCTGGAGGAAAAACTCAGGTGTTGAAAGAGTGAGATTTGCTTAGGTCAGAGCCAAAGCAGACTGGCAAAGACCTGTTTTATTTTGCGTTCATTCTTTATTGACTCCCTTGATACACTGCAATAAATGGATTTGCAGGTTAGTTTGATATCTGCCCTCTTTTTGAATTTTTTCCATTTTAGATGATGAGGGGACTGGAGGCTAAAACACATGAAGAACGGTTGCAGGAACTGGGTATGTCTAGTTTAATGACAAGAAAGACTAGGGGAGACATGAAAGCAGTGTTCCAATATCTCAGGGGCTGCCACAGAGAAGAGGGGGTCAAGCTATTCTCCAAAGCACCTGAGCGCAGGACAAGAAGCAATGGGTGGAAACTAATCAAGGAGAGAAGCAACTTTGAACTAAGGAGAAATTTCCTGACAGTGAGAACAATTAATCGGTGGAACGATTTGCCTCCAGAAGTTGTGAAAGCTCCAACACTGGAAGTTCTATTCTATTCTATTCTATTCTATTCTATTCTATTCTATTCTATTTATTCTATTCTATTCTATTCTATTCTATTCTATTCTATTTCATTAATAATATTTAATTTAAATGGAATGTTCTGGCATTCCATAAATTATATATAAAATTGAACATGAATGTCTTTTTTTTCTTATTCATCCATCAAATTTCTTGAACTCGCGAGAAGGTTTTCTTTTACAGCGTGTTTTCCTGGAAATGGTGAAGAAAGCGATGGAGCTTGAAAGATAAGATCTACATCCCGCTTCTCGCCGTCCCACCTGCCACCCCCAAATTACATCCCTAAAGGGGGCGGGTGGCTAAGCGAGGGCAGGAGCCCTGCCATGCCCGGCGAAGGGGGAGAAGAGACGGCAAGGGGAGCCATGTCTCGCTTCTCCCCCGCCCCACCTGCCACCCCTTGATAAAGAGACGGCGCGGGAGGGAAGCCGCTGTTGCCATTGGGGTGGGGTAGGACATGTTGGATCACTCAGCTGGTGTGAAGAACAGGGAGGGGAGGCGACAGCAGCAACGGGACATCCAGTCCCACGCTTGCCAACTTGTGCACCCGAAAATAATAAGACCCCCGATAATAAGGCCAAGCCCTTATTTGGAGGGGTCAAAAGAAAATAAGATCCTGTCTTATTTTCGGGGAAACATGGAAATAAAATCCTATGATAGGTGAATGCGTTACCCTGATTCACAGAATATGTTGACCAAACCAGTTTAATGTATTGTATACATCTAAGATAAGAATTGCACATCCAAATTCATTGGGAGGATCCTAGTTTAAGATCTCCTAGAGGAAAGCAATGGAAAATTACTGCTTGCTAAGACAACTAAAAGGACACGGCCATGAAAAAGAGCATGTAGTACAGTGGACTAAAGCACTGTTATTAACATCTGCTGCTTGCAATTACTGCAAGTTCAAATCTCACCAGGCTCAAGGTTGACTCAGCCTTCCATCCTTTCTAAGGTAGGTGAAATGAGGACCCAGATTGTGGGGGCAATAAGCTGACTTTGTATAAATATACAAAAGTATGAAGGCTATTGCTTAACGCATTGTAAGCCGCCCTGAGTCTCCGGAGAAGGGCGGCATATAAATTAAAGCAAAAAAAAAAAAAAGAAGAAGAAGAAGCTGAGATGGAAGGAGGATCTACCTCAGCTTAGGACCTATCCAAGAAAAGAGGGAATAGGATTTCCCCACTTTCTGTGTCCGAATGTGGATTCAAATCCAGCCCCTTCACCATTATCTACACTGAAGAATTCTGGGAATTGTAGTCTCATTATATCTGAGGTGGTGGTTAAAGTTGGTGGCAATGTGGGTGAAAGTAGCACTGGAGCCATTTTTCTCCAAGCAGCAGAAAAACAGGACCCTGGAACCCTGTTGAGTAAACCCAGCCCTGATCGAACAGGCTCCCATGTAGAAGTTGTGTACAATGTACATCCTCCTCCACTGAGTTGCTAACCTGGCTGCTTTCTCAGGCCAGGCCTACGACTGAACGCAAGTCCATCGCTTTCCAAGAATGGAAGCCAAGATGAATGGAATTTAAAAAAAAAACAAAAAAAACCCCAGTGAAACCAAACAAAGCAGACAAGGCTGAAATGACTCAGGCAAATGCTTCTCATGGCGACATTGCTCTTTGACTGTCTGCCTTCAATAATAGCAGCTCATGACCAGGGGGAGTTTGGGGGTGGGGAGAGAGAGAGAGAGGGGAGAGAACGACACACAATTTTCCAGAGGATTTTTTTTGGCTGCGTCTTGTGAATTTTGCTGTGATGACACTGAGGGAGATTATTGGTAACAGAAATGGCTGAACAAAGGTCTTGTTGAAACCTCAAGCCAGGCTGTCTCTGTGTTGGATGTTGGTGGAATCAGAGAGAAGGCAGTTTTAACAGAGTTGGAAAGGGACCTCGGAGGTCTTCTAGTCCAACCCCCTACTCAAGCAAAAAAAAACCATATACCATTTCAGACAAATGGTTGTCCAATCTCTTCTTAAAAACCTCTGGGGTTGGAGGAACCACAACTTTTGAAGGCAAGCCAATTCCATGGATTGATTTTTCTGAACGTCAGAAAATTTTTCCTTAGTTCTAGGTTGCGTCTCTCCTTAGTTAGTTTCCATCCGTTGCTTCTTGTCCTGCTTTCAGGTGCTTTGGAGAATAGCTTGACTCCTTCTTCTTTGTGGCAGCCCCTCAGATATTGGAAAACTGCTACCATGTCTCCCCTAGTCCTTTTTTTTAAATTAACTTTGGGCTCTAGGAGATAAACCTTGATTAGATTTATCTCCTAGAGTCCATAGAAGGGCTGATGGTTCTTTGGAATTTATATCTGCCTCCACCGGGGTCCATCTATAGCAGTGACAGTTATGCTTGAGAGTCCTCAGATGTAGTAAGTTTCCAGCAAAAATGTTATAAATTGAGGTTGTGTATCTATAAATGCTATATACAGTATGACCATAAATGGTGGCCAGCTGCTGAATGCCCAAAATATGGTCACGTTACCATGGGATGCTGGTCATTGGAACTTGGAATTTGGGTCATAAGAAGCTTTTGGGGGGTCTAACTTGACTTTGAATAGTCACCAAGTGACTAATCATAAATGTAGGACTACCTGATGAAAGGTTTCCCTTAGTTAAAATGCCAGGCCTTGACCAGACAATTTATTTTTATTTTTATTTATTTATTTATTGGTTCGATTTATATGCCGCCCTTCTCCGAAGACTCAGGGCGGCTTACAATGTGTTAAGCAATAACCTTCATACTTTTGTTTATACCTGCTTAGTAGGGCTTTTGGCCTCCCCTAAGCGGTGTTTTTTTTTATACAAAGTCAGCTTATTGCCCCCACAATCCGGGTCCTCATTTTACCTACCTCGGAAGGATGGAAGGCTGAGTCAACCTTGAGCCTGGTCAGATTTGAACTGCAGTAATTGAAGGCAGCTGGTGCTACTTAGCCGCACTTTAGTCTGCTGCGCCACCAAGGCACAACTCTTGTTGTGTTCTAACAAATGTTGTTTTGCCACATTTATCAATATTTATCGGGTGCTATAGGAATCCTCCCTCTTTTCAGGCAATGGAGTCCCCAAATAGAACTAAGGAGAAATTTCCTGACGGTTAGAACAATTAATCAGTGGAACGACTTGCCTCCAGAAGTTGTGAATGCTCCAACACTGGAAGTTTTTAAGAAGAGGTTGGATAACCATTTGTCTGAAGTGCTGTAGGGTTTCCTGCCTAAGCAGGGGGTTGGACTAGAAGTCCCTTCCAACTCTGTTATTCTATTCCCTCTAATATTGTCTGAAGTGCCCTGCAATTTTATACATTCTCGATTGGGATCTTGTAAAACACAGAATTTTCCAGAGCTGACAATGGCAGGCAAGTTTGCTCTCTTCTTTCTTTGGTCAAAAGCGCTCTGTAGACAGGGATGGATCGTAAGCAAGGAAGACGTGCCCTCCACCCCCAATCGGACTCACCTCCCTGAGGCAGGTGTAAATGGGGCAGACAAGTACACGGAAGGGCTCCCCGGTGCTGCTCCTCATGGTGCCAAAGACTTCACAGAGGAAGGTGATGAATCCCAGCCAGCGTTCCACGTCACTCTGCTGCAGCTCTTCTCGCATCGTGAAATCTTTCTGCACAAAAGAAAAGAGGGCAGAGGAAAGTCAGACAGCAGCTGCTGGGAACAGAGAAGAAAGATTTCCCTCCCCCCCAAAAAACCCCCCAAGAAGATGAGGTTGAAGTGGCCCTCAGTCAGAGTTCATCTTTCTGAATGTTTCCTTTAGTGAATTTTTTTTTTTTTAAAAAAAGTCACAGTTGTAGAACCAGCCGAACAAGGAGCAGGTTGGGTTGGAACCTGTCACTCTGATGCATTTGGAAGAAGTTTGGAACGGGACAACACCTGACTGCCAGAGATAGCTTCCTGCCTGTTTCTTGACAGAATGATGGACGTGGGTGGTATTGAATGTTTGGGTGACTTTAGTCTAGTCTACAACCCTGGGATTACAGTTCCTGGGATTCCCAGGGATGCCCTACCCAGCAGGGGTGGGTTCTAAATTTTTTTACTACCGGTTCTGTGGGCGTGGCTTATTTTGTGGGCGTGGCTTGATGGTCATGTGACAATTCTTTAGATTTAGCAGAGGTACTGGTCTACCAGGCTTTTAACTGCTTGCTTGTACCGGTCTACTCATTTGTTTTTGGAGGCACTGGTCTACCCATTTATTTTTGGAGGCACCGGTCTACCCATTTATTTTTGGAGGCACTGGTCTACTCATTTGTTTTTGCAGGCACAAGCCTGCTCATTTGTTTTTGGAGGCACTGGTCTACCACCACACTGCCTTTTAACACTGATCAGCCATAGGGCGGCCCTTTGAAGCCCCGTGGCAAGAGTTTAAACAGTTTTTTTCCTTCTAGCCGATCAGCTGGGACTCGGGAGGCAGCAATAGATTAGGGATGGGGCCAAATAAAAGGTAAGAATAACGCAGGGGGGCGGGAGGGCCCAGCTCCTGAACAAAGAAAACCGGTTCGGTGACGTCATATCGTCACCGCTACCGGCTCGGTGGAACCAGGCGGAACCAGAGGAACCCACCACTGCTACCCAGGTTCTAACTGGGTTTACCTCTGCTTTGCTTTCAAAATCACTCACTGGAGACCTTCAGAATACAAGACAACCATTTCTTTTATATACCCCTTATATATAACCCTTGACTTACAACTGTTCATTTAGCAACCATTCCAAGTTACAACAGCAATGAAAAAAGTGACTTACAGCCAGTCCTTGTACTTACAACCATCCCCATCCCCATGGTCACATGATCAACATTTGGGCTCTTGGGTTCAACAGGCATGATATTGCAATGGTTGCAGCATCAATGGAGTCATGTGATTGCCAACGGTGACTTTCCAAGCCAGCTTCAGACAAGCAAAATCAATAGGAGAATTGGATTCACTTAATGCTTGCATTAACAATTGCACTAAACAACTTTGGTGATTCACTTAAGAACCATGGAAAAAAGGTTGTAAAATGAGGTGCAATGCATTTAACAACTACATTGCTTAAGGAATGGAAATTCTGGTCCCAAATGATGGTCGTACATTGAGGGCTACCTATGTATGTATGTATGTATGTATGTATGTATGTATGTATGTATGTATGGATAGATAGATAGATAGATAGATAGATGATGGATGGATAGAGATTTTACATAATTTAAATAAAAACAAGAATATAAAATAGGAAAGTAGAAGAAAAAAGATAAAAGAAAAAGTGCTAGCAACAGTAAGATAAAGATAGAAACAATAAGATAAACAGGAAGAAAAAGGAAGAAAAAGGGGAAAAAAAGTCAAAGAAGCAGCGTCTGATCTTCTTTACAGCAGCTACACACTTTTTCCATTTTACCTACTTTATATAACCCCTTTCTTCCCATTGTCAACAGTTTTCAATCAGAATTTTAATCCAGAAATCTCCAGTTCATTTTTATCAGCAAACAAGCTCATGAAAGTTTTCCTATCTTTTATAAAAAGTACTCATTGTTCTGTCTCCAATCAAATAGGTCAGTTTTGCCATTTTGCAAATTCTGCCATCTTCACTGTCCACTCCTCCTTGGTGGTGTGGGGGAAGGAACACAGCCATTTCTAAAGATGTCATCCTCCCAGCTGCAGCATATTTGTGGTGGGTCGCAGCTGTTTTCTGCTGCTGGGACAAACTAGCCAAAGCTTTATCCAGGAGATGTTTTGTGCTCCGGTTCCCTGCCTGGGAGTCAGTTTGGCTGCTGGCCTTTCAAAGAAGCATGGCTAATTTCTACATGCCTCTGTTTCCTCCTGTATTTATTTCTGAAAATGCAAGCCTCTGAACTGAAGCTCTGCCAACCAACAGCCGCCCTATTCCTTTTAAAAATCTTCCCTGGCAGGAGTTTCTTGGGGTGTCCAGCCAGCAGGAACTATCCAACCCCCAGATTCCTCTTCCCTTCCATTCTCTTCCCCACCACCCAATTCTGAACCTGTGTGTTTTGAAGGCTTTTAATTGGCAAAGAGACTTTTTAGGTAATTCTTTTTCCAATGCTGCTGGTTTCTACTGCTTTTTATGCTGTACCTTTTCCACCCGTTAGGTTTAGTTCCAAGTTTTTAAAAATGTGACCTTAAAGAATTCTAAGCTGTCATGGGAAAACTGTCTTCTTAAAAAAATTAGTTTAAAAAAAAAAAAATCTAATGGATATTCCTTTGAAATGCAAACCGTGGTTTGAGAGAGAAGATTTTAACTTTGGCAAAAAGAGAAGGAGCTGAATTTTTCCTTTGGTGAAAGTTACAAACCTGAAATTGTTTGGTGAAAATAATCTACTATACAAAGGGAAGTATGCAGTGGGGTAACCCCAGGGCTCTGTCTTAGGCCCAGTGTTCTTCAACATCTTCATAAATCATTTAGACGAAGGAATAGAGGGGGAATTCATCAAAAAAAAATTTTTATTTTTTTTAATTTGATTTATATGCCGCCCTTCTCCGGAGACTCAGGGCGGCTTACAATGCGCTAAGCAATAGCCTTCATACTTTTGTATATTTATACAAAGTCAGCTTATTGTCCCCACAACTGGGTCCTCATTTTACCTACCTTAGAAAGGATGGAAGGCTGAGTCAACCTTGAGCCTTGGAGAGATTCTAACCTGCAGTAATTGCAGGCAGCTGGTCTTAATAACAGGGTGCTTTAGACCACTGTACTACCAAGGCAGATGACACCAAGCTAGGAATTGCTAACACTTTGCAAGACAGACTTAAGATTCAGAAGGATCTTGACAAACTTCAGAATTGGGCCCTACACAAAAAATAATTCAATTCAGTGATGAGAAAAGTAAGGCAGGAAAAACCAAATGCAGAGGTAGAGAATAGGTGGCACCTGGCTCAAAGTAGTGCCTGTGAGGTGGATCTAGGTGTCCTAGTAGACCACCACTTAAATATGGAGCCAGCAGTGTGCTGCAGCTGCCAAAAAAGCCAACGCAGCCCTCGGTTTGCATCAAGATTGTGAGAAGTGATACCCTGTTGACCCCAAAATAGCCTGTAGTACAGTGGACTAAAGCACTGTTATTAACAACTGCTGCTTGCAATTACTGCAAGTTCAAATCTCACCAGGCTCAAGGTTGACTCAGCCTTCCATCCTTTCAAAGGTAAGTGAAATGAGGACCCGGATTGTGGGGGCAATAAGCTGACTTTGTATAAATATACAAAAGTATGAAGGCTATTGCTTAACGCATTGTAAGCAGCCCTGAGTCTCCGGAGAAGGGCGGCATATAAATTAAAGCAAAAAAAAAAAAAAAGATATCCCCTGATAATAAGCCCAATCGGGCTTTTGAGCGCATGGCAATAAGGCCATGCGCTTATTTCAGAGTTCAAAAAAAATATAAGACAGGGTCTTATTTTGGGGGAAACACAGTAGTACTTATTATACTGCACTTGGAATACTGTGTCCAGTTCTGGTCACCATGGTCCAAAACAGATGCTGAGGACTGAAATTCACACGTCAAGTTATACCAAGTTGGAGAAACTCTTGTTTTGTATGAATTAAAAAAAAAAAAAAAAAAAAAGCTTGCCTAAAGCTTTTGATCACAAAGTGGAAGACTTACATGATGCATTTTTTTATCAATTATGCTTTGCAAGCTATCTAACCAATATTTATAACCCAGTAGTGCAGGTTGTGAAACTTCACAACGTCAATATTTGAGATTGGCTCAACTGCACGAAGGCTCCACTAAAACTGATCTGTTTGGACTTGCCAAGGTGATTCACAACCAGGCTATGCTTTAAAGGCATTTTTCCCAACCTGGATTGAGATGGGAAGCAACTCCTAACATTCCTAGCCAATGTCACTGAACGTTTGGGAGAAGTACAGGTAGTCCTCGACTTATGACTACAACCGAGCCCAAAATTTCTGTTGCTAAATGAAATTGTTAAGGGTAGGCCCGGTAGGCCTGTTTTTCACCCTCCCCAGGCTCCAGAGGCTTTCTAGGAGCCTGGGGAGGGCAAAAATGGCCTTCCCCACCCCCCAGGAGGCCCTCCGGAGGCTGGAAACAGCCCATTTCCCAACTTCCGGTGGGACTGAAAGGCCCAAAAATCAGCTGGCTGGCACACACATCCGTCCTGGAGCTGAGCTATGGCAACGCTCACGTGCCCACTGATGTGGCTCCGTGTGCCACCTGTGGCACCCGTGCCATAGGTTTGCCATCACGGCCATAGCCGTTAAGTGAATCACTGGAATTGTTAATTTAGTAACATAGTTGTTAAATTGAATCATTGACTTTGCTTGTCGCAAAAAGATGATCACATGACCCCAGGACACCGCAACCGTCATAAATATGAATCAGTTGACAAGTCTCTGAATTTTGATCATGCGAACATGGGGATGCTGTAATGGTTGTAAGTGTGAAAAACAGTCATAAGTGACTTTTTCAGTGATATTCTTAAGTTCGAACAATCATTAAATGAACGGTTTTAAGTTAAGACTACCTGTATGCAAGAGAAGAAATCAGAAACTCTAAGTATTCCCATTTATTTTTGTGAATAAGAACTGTTGAGATGTTCTTGTTTTTTTGGGGGGGGGGGGTTAATTCTGGGACTTCGATAACTCCAGGGTTGGAACCTCATCTACCTGAATCCCTTCATAACACAAACCAACAATTTA